ATTTGAATTCCCAAAAAGAATATGAGCTCTCCCATCAGACTCATTTCAATTCTACCTGTATTAACTTAGAAAATTCCTTGCACAAAGAAGGATTAGCATAACCAAAAATAATATTATCTACATAAATTTGCACAACCAAAATATCATTCTTAAAAGTTTTGCAAAAAAGTGTATTGTCCATTTTCCCTCTGGTAAAATCATTTTCTAAAAGGAAATTACTAAGTCTGTCATACCAAGCTCTGGGAGCTTGCTTCAGACCGTATAATGATTTCTTCAGTTTAAATACATAATCTGATTTCTCAGAATTTTCAAAGGCAGGGGGTTGATGTACATACACTTCTTCAGAAATATATCCATTTAAGAATGCACTATTAACATCCATCTGATAAAGAATAATATTATGATTAACAACGAAAGAAACTAATAAGTGAATAGATTCTAACCTGGCAACTGGTGTAAAGGTTTCAGTATAGTCTATCCCCTCTTACTGACTATAGCCTTGTGCAACTAGTCGAGCTTTGTCTCTTACGATCTTACCTTTTTCATTAAGCTTGTTTCTGAATACCCATTTTGTTCCAATGACGTGGACACCTTTTGGTTTCTGAACAAGGTTCCAAACATCGTTTCTGGTGAATTGATTCAGTTCTTCTTGCATGGCCAAAATCCACTCATTCTCCAGAAGAGCTTCATCAACTGATGTTGGCTCTATAAGTGACACCAAACCCATAAGAGTTTCTTCAGAAGGTTTGAATGATGAACGATTCTGACAGGATCATCTTTTTCTCCCATAATCAATTCTTCAGAATGAAAAGTCCTTAGTTTATTCTTCTTCTGACGGGATGGACTGGTCATTGTTTCTGATGAAGGTGTATCTGATTCTATAGTTTCTGCATCTTTGTTTTTTTCTTTAGAATCTTCCTCCTTGGGTTCTGATAAAGTAACTTTTCAACTAACTTTGACTTTTCAGGGTCAAGCTTATCATCGAATCTAACATGAATTGATTCCTCAACAATCTGTGTTTATGTGCTATAGATATTGTAGCCTTTAGAGCGTTCAGAATATCCTACTTCTGGGTATTTCCGACCTAAGTCCCTTCGACTACCTTGTGTATGGGTTGTTCGACTAGTTGGGGCATAAATCTTTGTTGCACTTTATTATTAGGAAAACCTTCATTATTTGGAACTCTTAGATTTTTAATTTCCCCAACTTCTTGAATTTGAGGGTTTGGTTGAATAGGCACTTGGGGAGCAAGAAAAATATCAACAATTCAACCCATTTGATACGCCAATTATTGGTAATGTGGTTTGTGTTTTGGATTAGAGGAGTAAACGTAATACCAATTTGTTGGATAAACATATTGACCATATCATGGTTACTATAATCCATTTGTTGCTTCGTGATCAAGAGAACTAATAGTTAAGGGTAGCAGAACCTAAGAGATATATACTAATCCTCCTTGGGGTTGTACCATTCGACTAGGATTGCTTATAGTTGATTTTGATGCTAAGTATTGATTAAGAGGAGATGCAATAGCCATTGCATTATCTGCATACGTAGATGTGTTAGTTTGTAGGCCTACCATCATTGCAGTTGGCATGCCATATGGATACTCTCTACTACCAGGGGTAGCGTAAATATTGGGAGGAAAGAGGGCCAAGGGCTTACTGTAGTGGGTTGTGTAACCCTGGGAGTACTTGGAAAACTAGTTGGTTGCGGTGGGGGAGCCACCACTTCCGGTAACGTCATCGAAACTGACATTTGACTTATAACATGAGTGGTTACTCCAACGAACGTTAAAGTTTATGCACCACCAATAGTTGACTCGATTGGTTATTCTTTTACATTTGGAGTGTTTTTTGGGCAAATGAAGGATTTTTCGACTATTGACGAGCCATCTCAAGAATTTTACCACTCCTCAGACGCATAAACACTCAGACATTGTAAACATTACATGTCTGCAGAACAAAACACATGATAAAAGCACAAACATTTTTCTGCAAAAGTTTGAATTTCTTGCTCAAAGGGTCCCATTAGGCGTGCCAATTTGTTTATTGGTACTTTTAATAAACAAATCATAAATTTTAGTTCACTTAAATGATTGAACTTGAAAAAATCCTAAGGATATTTTATACAAAAAGTGTTTAAGAAAGTGGATTCGTGCTTACAATTTTAAGCAAGTTTGGCGTTTGAATTTGGAACAATTGTGTAGAAATTCTAAGAAGTAAAAATGCATAATTGCTTCAAAAAGTAAAGTAAATGAAGAAAGATAATGAAACGATGAAGTAAAAATACTTAAATTAAAATGTGGGACGCATATTGATACATTTCTCATAAATACTTTTATCTTTGTAACTTGAATGTTTGAATTCTATACGGAACAACAATGAAAAATGCGAATTATTGTTACATGGATTAAATCTACTTATATATTATGTAAATCAATAACCTTCAACAACAATTAACTCTCCATAATTCGACATGTACACTATTACGTGAACTTTTGACCTCTGCTTCACTTCTCCATATCTTCAGTTCTTAAACTGCTACAAAGCCATACTGTTGTCGAAAACAACTTCAGTTTCTTTAATTTCCCTTGTCGAGAACCTCATTGACTGAAGCTTGTAGTTTTGATGTCGAAACATGATTTAACTACCTATGTTTTAGCCTATGTATTCATCTCTCTTCCCTATTCCTATTGAATATGCTTGAGTCGTAAATCTCCGGCTAACAAGTTTGTATTTCAATTTTTATATATAGTGTGACAGAATTCAAATTTCGTAATTCGGACGCAACATACATATTTCATCTCAAAAGAATCATATGATATAAAGCAATGATCAATGTAATATATAAATTACCTGAAATTTCAACTTCTTTTGATCATTTTGATGCCAAAATACAAAATAATGTTGTTTTGAAGTAAAAACCTTGAGTGACAATGGATGGAGAATTTTGTAGGTTTCTTTTTTATATATAAAAAAAAGGGTGTTATGATCATGAAAAAATATGATGAGTGGTATTCATACAAGATGACAACCAAATTCGTTTTTTCGCTTGGCTTTCTAGAAATTGTAATCTAAATTGTATTCGAAGATTAAACTCCGAACATATCTTAGACAAAAATGGATGTGCCTCAATCATAAATTAATTTGGTTGTACAATTTGTGCATTAGAATTTTGAAATCCAAAATACAGATATTTTAGGTTTTCCATAAAGTGTGTGATCACCGTATAGGATGCAGTGAACAACACTCGTTACCAATACATATGAATCAAACTGATTTTTCAATTCAAAGTCATTTTAACCCGAAGTCAAAAAATCAACGTCCAAACTAGTCGGAAGTTAGGTCCCTTTATTTTACCAATGAGTTATCTCAGTTGGGTGATTTGGGCATTCATCCCTACTAATAAAAGCATAAGTTGAAGATAAATCATAAATCAACTATTTTTATTTATTGAGGGCTCGCTTTTCATGTTTTTTTTTATTTAAAGAAAAAAATTTAGATGAGTTAGGTATTAAATATTCACTAGAGTTTAGTAGAGGTGGCAATTAAATCCATTAAGGTAAAATCCATCCAATCCATCCATCAAAAAATTCATCCAATCCATCCACCACACAAAAAATAAGTTAATGGATGAGATTAAATCCATCCATTTATATGCATGGATGGATTCAATCCATCCATTTATATGCATGGATTGATTCAATCCATCCAACATATTTTAAGGATCCAATGGATTATTTTTATTTTCGTTAGATTTATTTTTTTAAAAATAATTAAAAAACTATATTTTTTTTCTGAAAAAAAAATTAATTTTTTTGAAAAAAAATCTTTTTTTTTTCAGAACGAAAAACTGATTTGTTTTTCGAAAAAAAAACCGACTTTTTTTTTTGGAAAAAAATCAGTTTTTTTTTTCAGAATAAAAAACTGATTTGTTTTTCGAAAAATAAATAAAATTTTTTCTCGAAAAAAAAGCCGACTTTTTTTTTGGAAAAAAATCGGTTTTTTTTCAGAATAAAAAACTTATTTGTTTTTCGAAAAAAAATAAAAATTTTTCTCGAAAAAAAACCGACTTTTTTTTTTGGAAAAAAAATCAATTTTTTTTTCTGAAAAAAATCGTTTTTTTTTTCAGAATAAAAAACTGATTTGTTTTTCGAAAAAAAAAATTTTGAAAAAAAAACCGACTTTTTTTTTGGGAAAAAAAATCAATTTTTTTTTCTGAAAAATCGTTTTTTTTTTCAGAATAAAAAACTGATTTGTTTTTCGAAAAAAAATAAAATTTTTTCTCAAAAAAAAAACCGACTTTTTTTTGGAAAAAAATCGGTTTTTTTTTTCAGAATAAAAAACTAATTTGTTTTTGAAAAAAAAAATATTTATTTTTACAAAATTAAAAAAAAAGTTGGATGAATAGATTGGATGAATTTTATTCTTAATGGATGGATCGGATTGAATAATTTTAATAAAATTTTAGTGGATTTTAATGGACTAATGGATTGTTTTAATCCATCCATTAGCAATCCAATTCATATCCATCCATTTTGCCACCCCTAGAGTAGAAGAGTTAAGTATATTAACTGCTGGCTGAAACCTTACCAAGTATAAAAACTGGTGTTGGCTGTGCTTTTCATCTTACAGCAAATTGTCTTAAAATGTAATGAAACTCGTTTTATTCTTGTTATTACATTTTGCCTCATAGACATAAAAGAAATACAAAAAGCAACAATACATAATCATAGCTAGATGAAAATTTGCCAAATGAAGAAGAAATTATCCATGTCCACACACCAATAAAAATGAATAAACACCCTTGAAGAGAAAAAAAGAAAAAGTTTTATTTAGTGCCAAGATAATAGAAAAAGAAAGAGAGAATGAAGAGGCTATTATACCATATTACCAATATACCCCACACCACTATCTATTCTATAACCCCTTTTTTTCATTGATTAAATTAAGAGTATGATTCTATAATCTATAACATGATGATTGAGCTTTGCTTCATTAGTTCAATCTTAACCCCTCAAGTGCCAAATTTGCGGTTAACCATCTGCATACTTCATCGGTCTCTTCAGGAACTGTATAATGACCCAACCTGCACACAACAATAATATTATATTACATATTACAGTAACTTCATGTCATCCACAAATATGATATACGATCTAGTTCGGTTCGGTTCAGTATTTCAAACCAATAAGTTTGGTTCGGTTTGGTTCAGTTCAGGTGACCTTTTATTTCGGTTCAGTTTGGTTTTTTAACTGAACTGTACCATGAACCGCCCTCGAAGATCTTTGCACTTTGAAAAAAAGAAAGAAAAAAGTTGAATACCCGTTGTAGCTTCGAAATATAAGATTCTGGAATCCGGCTGAGCTTAAGGTCCTTGCAGAATTCTCTCCGTGTTCATATGCAACCACGTCGTCAGCTGCAAAAACAATTCAAGGTATATACATTGCGACGATCAGGCATGAAATCGGTTCAGTATTATTGCATGATTTAAGATTGTATTATTAGTACAAAGCTTGAATTACAATTTACAATAACAGAAGCAAGCAAAGAGTGTAACTGGTTGGTTCGACGATGATGAAATTTGATTTTGATTGAGTTTGTTTTTGTTTAAATGATGTATGCTCGGATATATTCACGAGAAAGTGAGTTGAATGATAAATTTAAAGGTAGAAATGATGTTTGGATAAATCCTGACTTCAAGTTATAATCAATTCTAGATGCAGAATCATTTCTATTCAAGAACCACCAAACATGCCAAAATCAATTCTTTTTCAGAATCACTTTTTTGTCAACATCCAAACATACACATTTTTATACCGGAATTAATAGAAAGGGAGCAGATTATAACACATTAAATTTCAAGTTGCAAAGGAAAGTGATAAAAGTTTTATAAATACCCCTCCCATGGCCGAGAAATAAAGGCAACAACGCTGCACGTCTGATGCCATCGCGCGATCCAGCAATCTTGTTTCTCAAGGTCCTGCATCAATTAGCACCATCCGAGTTTTATATATAGTATATAGCTTAAAGAAAAGGAAATGGTAGAAAGTAAAAACCGAACCTTGAACAAGGAAGCCAGCCACTTAAAGAAACAATCGCACTTAAGTTAATACGATAAACGTTTCCGTTCCCATAATGCCCCAAAACATGACATGTAGCTGAGTGAAGTGCAGTTGCAGCACCATTACTGAAACCTCCAATACCGAGTTTGACTGTAGAGTAAGCATTAGCTCAATCAAATTAGACTACTATCGACAGTTTATATCATTACGCGTCTCAAGGTATCATAGAAAACCTACTATTAGCCGGCTCTGTTGACAAAAGATTGGCAACATGTGCTGCAGAAGCATCTAAACCCTCCAAATCACTTGAAGCGTCTTCCGAAATATCCCCAACATCAGACCCTGGTAGAGATACCTCAATCAAATTAGACTATTTTCAACAGTTAAAATGGAGACGGTAACGGTACTATAGCTCTGAACCAAATATACAAAATCAAGTTTTGCGGCGGCCAAACAAAAATGGTCAAAGAGCAATGAATGAGCCTTACAAGAAGTGCAAGGAAATCCACCAAATAAGGTTACAGGCCGCGTAGGAGCAGTTGGACAAATCCATTTAATCTGAAACATAAATTTCAACATCACAAACAGCACCTTCTTAGCATAATAGCATACGATATGCAACTGCGGATTTGCAGTATTTATTGAAAAAACGCCTGTATCAAATCTACGCGCATTCTTACATTTGGAAGAGGAAGAGTTTCCAATAGTTGAGACCAACTGCAAAGACAAAATAAAGTCTATGTTATTCATCATAGGTCAATCTTAAACTAGTTTAAGCTTTGTTTAAGAAAATACACACTAAAACTATAATACCCTAACCATAGTTTGGGACCACACTACATATTTATAAATAGCATAAATTTTGTATTATATAACTCAATAATGGACTAACCAACATGGTTTCAAAATTATGGAAATCAAGAGTATATTACTTGCATAGGGACTATATGTGTTCTAGTTTGGTGTGGTCCCCTTTCTATTATTTGCATACACAAGTATCAGAATCAGTGATTCCATCAATGCGAAAATTCAATCTAGAATGGAAAATAAACTTATTAATAAACCAGCTTTAGCAGAAGAGGACAAGATATTGACATTCCCTTACTCTAAAAGCATACTCTCAAGCATAAAGAGAATGTAGGTATCCATCCATACAAACTAAGTTTAACAATAAAAAGGAATAAACTTTTTCAAATATTCATGTTCCAAACAACACCAATTCCAAACTTCTGAGCCATGCACACTAACATGGATGTTGAGAAAATGCATGGTAATCTATTCCTGTGAGCAGAATCAGTTTTCATAATATAAGTAACGTTTAATTGCACTTGCCAACCAGCTCATAAAAGCTTTCCATCAAAGAAATCTCCAAATGTATTCCAGTTCTAAATTCTAATGAAGATAGTATCTAGGGTTTTAAAAAACGGTTTGCAGACCACGAAAACGGTCGCGACAAAACAATATTGGTAGATGTCGATACCGATACCGTTATCGCCGTATTTTATGTTGAAGAAAAAATTGTGGTTAATTCACACCGTGATGACCGCAATCAGTATCGCTACACCTATACCGACCGAAATTGCGAAAGCCTTTACGCGACCGCGACCATTTTTTAAAACCCTGATAGAATCTATCTTTAAACCATGATAGCATAAAGCACTATGCTCTTGATCAATGGTGTGTCTATTGTTTGACACTGATACGACACGACAGGGCCGTCATGGAGGACGTGCAAGAAGGACTGTCCCACATGGCCAAAAACGTGTCTTGGTTGAACCGTGGCTAAATAGGGCCTCATAAAATATTCTCACCGCTAAATCGTAGTTAAATATAGTCTCTATGTTCTTTTCCATTGTTAAACAGATCTAACCTACTCAAGACCTCCAAAAACTTGAGACATCTCTGCAACACGACACCGGCGCATGTAATTACATTCAATTAACTCGTTTTCTCACATTATTATTAGCGTCAACATGTCTGTGTTAGAACTTCATACATAAAACGTTCGAGTTAGCAATATACCTTGAACCATTGTCACCAATACCATGTAACCAAACTATAGTTGCCTGGTGCTTGCCTTTAGGTCTAACCACATGAGTCCTTCCAAACTCAAATGTCCTGCCAGCATTTCCACTACCTGAAACATGAAAACAACAAAGATTTACAAGTTGCACGAGTTAAACGACCCGGGTTCAAACCCTGGTAACATATTAACTAATTTGCAGTGCAATAGAAATGGCATTGGTACACATCACAATTCACAACTAACCAGAACTAGTTGAGAAGTTCCTATGACTCATATTTTCAACTTCAAACAGGTAAATGCTTATGTTAAGCTTCTGGAATGAAGAAAAACAAACATTAGCAATATCTATTTATACCCAAATGAGAGAATAAAATAATAATAACAACAACATCAATGAATCTGCATCAGCTACCCTACTTATAAAACTAGCTAAAAAGCTTGATAAAAATTGACAGAAAGTAAAAAGTTGTAACCCTTTTGTGAGCTAGAATCCACAAGGAACGAAGCAAAAAATGCAGCGAAAATAATAAGATTGGAGAATCTATGCTTGTGAAAGCAAAGAGAACAAGAAGAATAATTTGCTGATATTAAAACCTTTATTTTTCTTTGACATTTGCCACCTTGAATAGAAAATGAAATTAATTTGTAAAATAGGTGCATGAATTAAGGAAATGAAAAGTTGAAATATAAAATTATTTTTATTATAATATTATTAATATATATATGCATACTAGAATCTTACATTAACAAAATATATTCCACACAAAGCTAGAGCAAGTGAGAAACAAACCTAAAAAAAGCATATGGGCTTTTTTTGTTTGCCTTTCTTGGCCTTGTTCCCACGACTTTCGCTTTTGTTACATCACTCTTCACATTTAGCACTAACAACGAACATAGTAATAAACCTTTCACTTTAGGAAGAAAAAATTGTGAATCAATAATTGCATTCACTCTTTAACCTAAGCTCCCTTTTGATATTTTAATTTATATTTGACTTTTTCTAGGTTACTAAAAATAAAGATGGATTGAGTAATTTAAGTATGTTTTATTATATATTTTATTATTTAAATTTGATAATTTAAAATATTAAATATATAGATTGGAACGATAGTGGATAGAATTTTGGCAGAATAATATAGTCCTTAATCCCGTGCCTATGATTTTAAAAAATCTTCCTACTCAAATCCATATTCGCATGAGTATTAATATTTATACATATATTTTATGGGTACTTAAATATCAATATCTATATTTATATATATATTTATCCGCATTTTTAATAAAAATAATATATCTATTATTATTTATTATGTTATTTTAAATTTTTAATAACTTTTAAAAAAATGCATGTGTGATATTGTTGAGTTAAGAAATAAATAAATATTTATATTAAAATATATACAAGTTTAATAGTGATGTTTTATTAAAATTGATAAATTACCATGTATGTATAATTATAAACGTAAATATATATTGTGTAGGTATGGGTACTAAAGCATCCATATTCACACCAATACCCATTTATTTTTGTGAGTAATTGTTTGTGCTCATGATTGTACCCATTTTGCAGGTTCTTATTCTATCCTTTATGAATAATATTTGGGAGGTCCATTGGGATGGATTTAATTGTCATCTTTATATATAGTCAACGTTTTGATATTTTAATTTATATTTTATTATTTTAAATGTATGTATAAATTTTTTAAAATTGTTTTATTTTGTAATTTATAATGTAATTTTATGTTGAAAAAATGAATATTTCTATTTGTTACAAATTGGAATCAAAATCATAACAGGATTGTGATGTTGGACTTTTGATTCGGTGTTAAAGTCTTTGGCATGGCGGAACACGGGTGAACGTGTAATGTTGGTGCTTTAATATCTAAATCAATTAAAAAAATCCAAAAACATTAAGCGTGAAGTAGAAAAAATTCGAGTGTAACTTAAGTTTTATATATATGAATTGCATATAATAATGTAATATAATTGATACACATTTATTCTAATTAATACACATTGATTTTAATTGATTCTTAACACTCCCTTCAAGCTCGATTATAGTTGGACCATATATGTCATATGAGTCGAGCTTGTTACAAATATAATTTACTCGAAAGTTCTTAAGAGACTTATATCAATCAATTGGTCTTTAGACTTGACGAAATTTGTGATTATTTCTTTTGAAAGTACCTTGTCTCTTATGTAGTGACAGTCTACTTCTATGTGTTCGTTCATGAAAAATCGGATTTGATGTAATGTGGAGTGTCATTTGATTGTCGCATATGAGTTTTATGGCATGAAGATCTCTCAACCTGAGCTCTAAGAGTAAATTTTTAAGCCATATAAGTTTATTTAAGGTTGCTACCATAACACAATATTCAGGTTCAATACTAGAAAGTGCAATTGCGTTTTGTTTCATGCTTCTAATGACACTCTATCATTACATGTTTTCGACAAGAATTTGGAACAATTTCAGTCAAATATGGAGGCAATACGAAGAAAAAATGTCAAAGAAGTGCTTAGAATGATCAAGTGTGGTGAAAATATGGACTTATCAAAATTTGGTGGAAAAGGCACAAAGGACGAAACGCCACTGGATTTCTTGTGCCTCATCGTGGGCACGATAAAAGTCATGCGGATGTGATACTTATCACCGTGGGTGTGATCGACCTTTATTCTAGACTTCTTTAACGCGTTCGAGTAGCTTTAAATGGGGATTTTTGTCATCTTTTCAAGGGTTCTGCGTTTTTTACTCTAAAGTGACAACAAGGATTCCCGGGAAGGCAGTTTTGAGAGAATTAGAAGTCATTGAAGGCCAATTTCTTCAAGGATTTCGCATGTACTCATTTTCTTAACTCTTGGCATTTTATTGTATTACTATGAGTAGCTAGATTACTTTAGATTAGGTTTTACCTGATGAACTTGTTTTGAACCTATTGGATTACATGTTTAGTTTGATGTTTTATGAATAATTGAAAGTTATATTTTTTATTTAATTATCTTTGATCTTAATGCTTATTATTTATGGACGCGCTAATAATATGAACTCAGGCGGGTAGGGATTACTGGCCCTAAGCATATGAGTCTGAACTAGGATAATTAATCTATTTTTGTTGGTTGAATAGGGATAGGAGACCAGTAGTAGTGGTTTTTGAATTAACACATTGTAATAACGCCTAATTTCACTTACCCTGATCGAATAGGGATAGAAAGTCACTAGTATAAAGTAGTGAGCTATACACCAAGGGATTGAGTATAGTGGCTTTGTTTATTCTCCATAAAAATATAAGAAATTTATCATTCATCTAATGCACTAAACATCAACAGGGAATAAACAAGAGATTCATGGTAAAACCTAGTCGCTTTTCACGTATTGAGTTCAAAACAAATTTACTTTTCACATTAAAATTTGAAACCCCTCATAGTTACTTTAATTATTCGCGCAATCGTAGTTTGGTTAAATAGAAATCCATGTGGAGATGATATCTTTTAGTATTACTTCGACATTATCAGTACATGCGAAAACGAACATTTATACGCTTAAAATCTGGTATCGGCCACGCGAAAGCGGGTGGTACGTTTAAATTACTTTTCTACTAAAACTAAATTTTTGAAGTAAGAATTGATTATTTTTCAAATAAGATTTTGAACTGTAACATGTACACGTGAAAGCGGGCAATTAGATTATAGAGTCTAAATCTGGTACCGGTCGTACGAAAGTGGACGGTACCTTTATTATTTGCACAATCGTAGTTTCATTAGAAATCCTTGTGGAGACGATATCTCTTAGTATTAATTCGAAACTAATGGTACACTTGCAAAGAAGTCACCAGCTTCTCCATGAGATCATATTTCCTCCAATAAGAGCACAATATCCAGAAATGGATCTCCTATCCGATAGTGATCTGGTTCAGTCTACATCTAAATAACATGTGGTTGCAGCATCACCCTTATCTTCATATAATAGTCCTCTTCTTGGTGCATACTTAATATATCTCAGAATCTGAATAACTGTGTTCCAATGACTATCATAATGAGCATTCAGAAATTGGATCACAATACTCACTGTAAATGTAATATTTAGTCTAGAGACAATAAGATAATTGAGTCTACCTGTAAGATGTTGATATTGTCTCGGGTCTTACAATGGCTCCTCCTTACCCAGAAGAAGATTGATGTTAGGATCTATAGAAGTACCAATAAAACGATAATCAAGCATATAAGTTTCACTTAGAATGTCTAATTCATACTTACGCTGGTTAATTGCAATACATGATAAGGACTAGGCAACTTTAATGCCTAAGAAGTATCTGAGTGGACCCAAACCTTTTATTTGATTTTATTTTTGAAAAGATGAGTTTTGAGTCACTCCATACCATATGGGTCATTTTCAGTGATATCAATGTTAGAACACAGATTGATTCTTAGTTATATCTCTATGTTTTGATGATAACACTTACGAAATTTTGTATTAAGAAATTATATACTCTAAATTTGTTCAAGTATCTTTGCTGCAGATATTAAATTTAATATTCTTCTGAAAGCAAAAATGGATCTGAACATTGAACTATGCAAGACTCTGAAGCATCAGAAGCATCTCTTAGAAGACTCTGTGCGCTGCCTACAGAAGGATCTGAAGCAGAAGCTACAGAAGCATCTGAAGCATAGACTGAAGACTTTGTATGAAGAGTTTCAAGCATAGTTTTTCAGAAGACTCTGATAGTACTGTACGCTGTAAGTACTGAGGATCTGATCCCTAAACTCTGCTCTAATGAATCTCACGCTAAAGCACACTTGCTGCAACACTCTGATACAACAAACTCTGAAGACATCAAGACTCTGATCACTCAAGGCTCTGATGTTAATTGTTGTGAATTAGAAACTTGTTGAAGAAGATTATTTGAAGATATATCTGTTGGTTATGCCAAACGACTCTTTCCTATTTTATGCTAGACACAAGAACACAGGCAAAAAGGATTTCTCTGAACGTTCTTCTTCTAGGAAAGGTCAAGTGATGTGAAGACAAAAAGGTTACAGCTACTTTGCAGACATGGTCTTCAAGCTTGCAAAAGTCTTGGACTACTGTGCCTATAAAAGCAAGACTTCAACATCTTTCTCAAGTTGACGAATTATTGAACAATTCTTTTGAAAACTCTCACAAATCTCTCATACAAATTATTATTCTTTGCTAAAATAGTTTTCATAAGTTCTTAAACTTAAGTGTAAATCACAGTTGTGATACAGCTTACTTAGAAGCATTCAAACACTTGTTTA